ATAGCCATAGCTTAAGTATAGCTTGAAGCCAGCTCTAACCATAGTATAGTTTTAAAGATAACTCTGGCTGCAATTTAAAGCTAAATTCATAATTCAGGCCGTAATTTTAATGCTATTATGTAAGCTATAATCTAAGCTACGGCTTATACTATATATATTGAAACCATAATTTGGCCTTAGCTGCGGTTCTTTAGAGCCATGCCAAAGACATCGCAGATCTACAGTGATACTATCATTATCGGTGAACCTCTATTTCAAAAATGAAGCATCAAATTGATGTTGACAAATTACTGTAAAAATTAGGATGAATTTTTCAATACCATAATTTATTCTTTCAGTAGAGAAAGACAACATAGATAGTCTTAAAAATGCAAATTAATCTTTTTTGCGTAGTTTCTTCTTTTCTACACCATACAGTATCCATCAAAATAATACAAAGCAATAAATACGATTATGTTAAAACACTGCATTATTTACCTTGATGGTGATAATACAGAATCAGTCCACTTTAATTTTAGATAAATTAAACTAGCAATTTATTAGAACAATTTAAATAAGTCAAAATGATAAGTACTATTCAATAAAGTGTTCAAATCACATGATAAATATACTTGGTTGATCAATAAAATGAAGATTGCACATCAGTTTATAATGATTTTAAAAATATCGGCTATAAAATATAATGAATGACAAAGCTACCACCTATGGCAAAGGTTACTGTTTTCTCTGAATGTGTAGCAAAAACAAACAATCAAAATAAACAAATAAATAAATAAATAAAATTTAGACCGGAAAGTAGAATATGAACTAAGGGCATGTCAAAACAGGAAATTTTAGAGTAACAAAAAAAAACGAAATAATAAAAAATTTTGGAGATTATTATTAATGTAAATGATGTCCCAAAAACCAAAAATTTTTAGAATCTAACAAGCTAATAAAATTAAAATTCATATTCAAAATAATTTTCAGGTCCTGAAATAAATCAAATAGGGACAAAATCTCAATTTTTGTTCAACAAAATAATTTCAATCGTTAATAGAATAGAGGCGGTTGTTAAAAATACGAGAGTAAGGAAGGTGCAATATCGTTGCATGCGAAATGTCAACACTTCGGAATACTTGCGATGAGTTTATTTTTTTAGTATCCTTAAAAAAAATTTTATGAACGATGGCTGCAATTACCAGCCATTAGATGGGATGATTGAAATGTAATTGAAATGAGATTATGCGAACAGTCGACTCTGGTTATAACGAATCTTACGACTCTATATATAAAATTTAAAAAATTTTCTGTAAAATTAATTTACTGTTTTTACAACAAATTTATAATGATTTTGCTAAAAAAAAAAAGTTCGTTATATCCAGAATTAATTGTACTGTACGCTGCTTTTATAAATCTTAATAGGTTTGTTACCTGTTTTTAGAATAAATTACGTGTCATTATCAAAATTCTACATACATCGTTAGTTTTTAAATCAGTGTATGCCTCAAAATATTTTAGCATAACTTTTATAAATCCACCGCCAATAAAAACATAAATTTATGATCTAATTTTAGAAACATTGATGTAACATATCAACTGTTGTATCCATTAGCTGACTTCTTTCGCTTCCTTGCATTTATTGTTGAAACATCTTACCGAATTTGATGCTTTTTTATTCTATGCTCAACAATTTTTATCATTAAGGAGGGTGTCTTCGGGTCATCTGAGCCAGATTCAGGTTGATCGATCCCAAATCTATATTGTGCGAGTGTTTCAAAAAATAAAATAAAATAAAATAAGGGAAAAAAAACAAAAATGAGCTGTTAATAAAACATAACATCATAAAAAATATTAAATGAGTATATAACAAACAATATCCCTATATAATGTACTTCCATCATGCAGTATACTCGATACCTTACACAATAAATTGAAAAATTAGTAATCATAGCAGTAAGCTGGTTTGTAAATTATCTCGAAGTATTTTAAAGTAAAAATTAGCCACGTGGGGGTACTGATCGTAAGATTTTGAATTTTTAGAAAATCATTTCTTAAATTTATCATAAAATCTCTTTTTGTACATTATTGTTCGACGCCCATTGTCACTGTTATACAGTATTATTAGGATTTAGTGTAACTTATCATAATTGCAAGGTTTGTTTATCGTACAGAGATTCTCCATGTTTCGATTCGACAGACACTTTCAAATTTATTTAGTAACGGAGCCAAGTTTTACCGCTATCATATTTGTTTTTTATTTGTTAAATAAATTAATTGTATAAACGACAGCAAAGAGTTAGTGTATAAATTTATTGCATATTCATGAGAATTAAACAGTACACTTACATTCATTCATTAATTTATCTACGTAACGCGAAGGTACAAACATGTTTTACAAAACGTATCTATTGTGAAAACCCAGTTATTGCTTAATGAGAACAAATATTTGTGTTAATCGGAATCTTTATATTATTGTACCAATCTCAATTTTTTTTTATTAATTTGGATGTATCTATAAGATATTTGGTCATATGATTCATCAGAGTTAATGTCATTCACATGCTGCATAGCAGCACATGGGGTGACATTAACTCAAAATTTCCTGTTATTTTTGTGTATTTTGCATAAATAATTATTTCATTTTATGACAATCACATGATCGTATCACACGATAACGCCGACTATTTTTCGTCACTGCTGAATTTATTGATAATCGATTCTCCGTTATTTAGAATAGTATTATGGCTACAGATCACATGAATTTCTCAATGGATAAATCACAGGTTGTATAACTTCATTTGAACCAATATTTTGATTATTCAATATCGTACAGATAACCTTTTTATGGTTCAAAATCATTTTAACATTATAAAAAAAGTTTGGTTTTTATTTAATTGTTGTACAATAAGTATCATTCAACAAATGTTCGAAATGGGCCCACCATAGATATAAAAACAGGACAAAATCTGTACATTTGTTTAATTTAAATATACGGATTCTGTCCTGTTTTTATACCTATAGTAGGCCCATTCTGAACATTTGTTGAATGATACCGACAACAATTAAACAAAAACCAACAAACTTTTTTATAGGGTAACCTCTCTAGGACAATTTCAATCATAAGCATCATTATTTTCTATTGTGTCACTTATCCAATCGTGGATATTATCAAAACATCGGGAAAAACGTCGAGCTTCTCGTTTCGAATCTCAGTTCGCTTTGAATATCTTAAAAGGATTCTGTCTTAGACGCATTTACTTCCTCCTATCAGTAAGCTTTTGAAATTCAAATGAAAAGATGCTGAAATCGAGACCATAAGAAATTGAAATTGAATCAAAAAAAAAAAAAAGATTAAGAAAATTGTTATTCTAAGTACTTTAAATCAAATTGGCAAAATATAACATACAAAGTATAATATATAAATAAATGACAGAGTCTTACATATAGTTTAATATTTAGATCTTTAGTAGAAGTTAATTTTTACACAAAATAAATATATTTAAAACTGTGGCGCTTTATAGTTAGAATTTAATTATTATGTTCTTAAGTATTGTAATTGTCTTAACTTTTTAGGCTTTAATAAGATCATAAAGAAAACAATTATTGTTTTTCTTAACATTGAATTTATTAAAAAAGATCTGAATGAACTCTCGTTAAGCATAAAACTATAAGAATGTAGCAAGTTTCTAATTTCAAGATTATTATAATTTGTGGCTTTCATGGGTTTATCTATTCCAGAGAAAAGCGCATTCCAACTAAAACTTTTCGGTAAATTATAGTTATTGCACGGGTCTTATGTGACAACCCGTGCTTTTTTTCATTATTATTTGCACGGGATTGTTACGTCAGACACCGTGCAATAAGATAGTTATTATATAAATAATCCAGTTACACACACGGGCTCACGTGCCTTCGGCACGGAATACGAAACCACGTGTAACTGGGTTATTCACTACAACCTATACAATAACTATAAATTATGCTACTTGTGATCTGGTAGTATTCATAAGTTTTTTAAAACTTGAAGCGAAGATATCTCGAAAAGTTTTTAGAACCTAAATACAAAAATTGTGTACGTATATTTGATTAGCGTTGCACGATTTATGGTAATACTATTAAGTGTACTGATTTTACAACTTGTCCTATTTTAGATTTTAGAAAATCCCTTCCTGAATTTGTCGGTAAAATATTTTTTTGTACATATTGTTCAGCGTCCATTGTCCTTATAATATGAAATGTCAGAATTAAAGATTTTAGTGTAATTTATGCGCCAAAATTCTTATAATTTAATATCTCCGATTCTCTAATCGTGGAGCTTGTTTATTACGCCAAAATCTAGGGCTTACTTTAATAGTAAATTGTAGCTGCAGATTTCGTATTGTAGATTTATTGTATTAGCCTAGTTCAAGTACTAATTGAGAAATATAAAATAAAAAATATAGATTTATTGGGTTGCATAAAATATTTTTGTAGGTCACTATAATAAGAAAAAATTATATTAGTAATTTTGGTTATCATTATCATTTTTGATATATATATAGTTTGTTATTTTTATTTGATACAGTAAGAGGATACAAAAATTATTATGGAATAATTTTTACATAATCGAGAGGATATTCTGTCTAACTTGTTTAACTAAAGCGAAGGAATAAGTACTGTAGTGAGTGTCTCACCGATAGGGCCCAACACCAATATGGTACACTGCAGGAACCCAGTTATTTAGATTATTGCATCATTAAAAATAACTATACCGATTTTTTCTGTATCTATAATTCGTGTTCACTCCTGAATTAAGATTAGATGATCCTAAACTTTTTGAGTTAATGTCAAATACATCAAAATTACGTGATTTTTAATGGCCAAATATCTTTCAGTTAGTATGAATAACATAACTGGATTATATCGTTTTCATCTGAGCAATGTTCTACTAAATATTAACTTATATGGCCTAAAATAATCTTTTTTTAACATTTATAGAACGGCTTACGCATAAGTTTCGAATTTAATATTTTGTCAATATGTCTAAGTCTAAAGAATCACGTCATTTTGCTAACCGTAGACATTATCAAAAAAATCGGGAGAAAATTCTTCAAAAACGTCGGGCTTCTCGTTTCGAATTGCAGGCTCGTTTGGAATATCTTGAAAGTGCTCTATCTCAGACACGTTTACTTCCTCCAATTAGTGAGCTTTGGAAATCCGACCTCCCTCCTATTTGCAATCTTTTGAAGCCTGAACTTCCACCTTTTAGTGATCTTTTTAATCCGAATCCTCTCAATACAAAGGAAAAAACGTCCGCATCAAGACCGTAAAAAGTTCGAATCAAGAATATATATATATGTTACTTTTTATGTACATTGAGAAATTATGATATTTTTTATGTACATTAAGATAATTTAAGTTAAGATGGTGGAATCTAGTATACAATTGTAATGTATGAAATCATTGGCAAAATCTAAGTTTAAAATAAACAATAAGGATAAAGTAATAATTTTCGTTAAAATGAAAAAAAAAATTTAATGAAATAGAAATTTGCAGTTCTTCGGTTAATTATGAAGAATTCGCTGACGATTAAGATTACCAATACTAACTTTAAATCGGGCAAAAAATTTCAAGCTTGTATCTTTTTTAATTAGTGCTATTAACATAATGTGCATATGCAAATTTATATAATACCTGATACAATTAATTTGTTTATATTTAGTGCATAATTTCTCATGCAAAGTTGAACTGAATAGCTTTGGACGGCATTTCATATGGCCGAACTCTATTCAAAGCCATTAAACTGTAAAAATCTGTCAAAGCCATTACGATGTAGCGTTTTTTTTTTCTAAAATTGGTTTCAGTAAAATTATGTCTTGAATTTTGATAAAAAAGAAGCTATCTTTGTTGTTGAAAATTCTTCGATAGAATTTCGTTGTAAAAAAAAAAGACATCGTACTAATGAATATAACTTAGATGTAATAAAATCTTTGGAAAATAATGTTTCAATTAATATAGGTGGTGACGGTCTTGAAATTAAAGGAAAATGTAGAACTGAATTTAAACCTTGGGTCCAATTAGGATGAATATGGCCAAATCAACATGAATTTGGGCAGAATTAGTGTATGAATTTAGGAGTATTAAAGCATAAATTAAGTTTAAATTTGGGCCATATTAAAGTATAAATTTGGACTGTATTAAACATAAATCCTTTCGATGAGCAGATATCCAAAGCAAATTTGGACTAATCTGTCAATTACCAACATATATTATACAGATATAATTCTAAACACCACATATGAATCTAATCACTATATAATAACTCTAGAAATATCAATTGTTACTAACAAACCTAAACCTTATAAACAACTGAAAAGAAGATGCTTTCTTTGAAAAAACTGCTCTAACCAAACTATCCAATTCAAACTATTCATAATCTATATTTTATTTTGTAACTATATAAAATCTTTATAAGTGCAGAGGGAAAAATATTTAGTTCTGATTTAATATTTTTGTAACTCTAGTAAACATAATTAAGTATTTTGAAAAGACATAATGATTATTTCTCTAATAAACTGCCATATTTTTTCTAGACTAAACTACTCTTTTAATTATCTGTTCTAAATTTTTTAGATATTCTGTAATTTTTGTTTTTTTTTCCAGATCGTTTAGAAATTTAAAATCTTTATAATTTCTCTTTTTTGATTCCCGATGTTTTATTATTTTTCATTGTTCAAATTGTATATTTGCCAAATTTTCATTTTCTATATTTAAATCTTTAAATATTCTTTTTAACTCTTTGTAGTCACCATTTTTCAGATTTTTAACTTGCATATCTAGATTTGATATTATAAACTCATTCTTAATTTTTTTTTAATGCAAAACTTTGCTGTATCTTTAAGAGCTTGTTCTAGCTAAATGATTAGAGAATTACTTCTGCACCTAAATTCTTTAATTCTTTTGCAGAGTTGGCTTCATTTTTAATTAATTTATCATGCTTTTCATTTTCAATTGTTGACAATCTCATTAATCTTAAATTATTATTTATTTACTTTCTTGTTTTTCCCAATTAGTTTGCATCTCTTTCATTCCATGCTTGCTTGTTCAGCCACAAAAGATGCTATTGTTTTTTGAACCTGTTCGTTATTAGTTTGGTTCTCAATATAGCTGTCTAAATCTATAAGTTTTTTTGGGCTCTGAGTGTGAATATTATTTGTTTTAATCGACCTAGTTTAGGAACTGGTTATAATTAGGGGTCTGCAAACCGGGCTCGTGCCTGTGCCCAACAAAAGGCACAGGCATGGACATGGGCACGAAGATTCAGGTATAAGCATGGGCATGGGCATAAGAATTTGTCATGGGCATAAGCACAAAAATTTGGCATGGGCACGGGCACAAAAATTTAATATTTATTAATTAATTTTGCCTGGCAGCCTAGCATTTTTGTGCCTTAGGCATGGGCACGGCATGAGGCACTAGTGTATGGCCTGGTGCCAATGTGCCCGGCATGCCCACTTGCAGACCCCTAGTTATAATCTACTGAATTTATAACCGATTACAATCGGTTTTATAGCTGTTCTCGTAAATTTTGGGACAACTGATAAAAATTGATCAGCCGAATTCGATGTTTTTGGATTCGGTGTTATCGAATTACTGTAATGCCGAAAATCCAATTCCGATAACACCGAGTTCAAAAACTTATCGAGTTCGGCTGAAATAAATTTTATCAGTTGTCCCAGAATTTATGAGAACAGCTGTAATATAACCGATTTTAAATTTTTAAAATTATAAATTCAGTTATATTTATAATCGATTTTATTTATAATCAGTTTTATTTATAACTGAATTTAAATTATAACCGGATTTATTTAAAACCAGGTTTAATATAAATCGAGTTTAAATTATAATCGGTTTTTATTTATATTTAAATTAAAATTGGATTTATTTAAAACCGGTTTTATATAATCGAATTTAAATTATAATCAGATTTATTATCGTTATTAATCGAATTTGAAATACAATATAATTTTTATTTAAATCAGTATAATAGCAATAATACGTAGCAGTAATTTTTCTTAAACATGGATGAATTTCAAAATGACATAAATGATATTGAGACAAATTTATGGTATTCTTCTGTTTCAGAAGGTTATTTAGATACGAATGAAACTTCTGAATTAGTAAAACTAATATAAACAAAATTTTTTGTAAAAAAAAAATAACATGTCGCAAAAGAATCGCCAAAAGCCTTATAATTATAAAATTAAACCATGTGCTATTTTATTTTAGCGCAAATTTTTATCCTATTAATATACGGGAGGAAGAAATTAATGCAAGTCAAGAACTTAATACACGTGGAAATTTCGACACATTAACAAACATTTCAAGGAATATATACATGTTTTTGGATATGGTGTATGTGGCCTTGTTTTGACAGGTGGATTCGAGGTACAATTTAATTTTCCACATTGTGCACAAGAATCACGCATTCCATAATCGCATACTTTGGTACCGCCATTATTGCGTTCGTAAGCATGCGTATGATCATATCCTAGAAAAAATATATTCATAAAGTAAAATTCATATAGAGTTTATTATTTTATATAATAAATACCCACCAACCATACCAGAGGCACTACCGCAATACAGACCTTGTTATGTGGAAGAAGGATATTTATATTTTGTATTGGAATTGCACTCGAATAACGCACCGGGAATAAGATTTAACGCGATAAAAAAAGATATCATATATCTTTTATTGACTTTGAAAAACACAAAAAAACTTTTATTAAATATTTTAATTATATAAAATTAAAACAAAATAAAAAAATACAATACGTACTTTCAAATATTAAATATTGTTTTTGACAAAGAAATTCTAAGTTCAAAGGTGAGTGAAGGCGATAGCGTATAAATATTATAGGATTTTTTGAAGCATAGGCGACACACTAAATGTCACGTAATTGTGCGTTACGAGATAACAACAAATGTTGTATAATACTTGATTATTTTAGAGTTAATTATAGATGCCTTGCCTAAACCGAAAATGACTTACGTAATATTCTTTTAAGCAGCTTCTATGTTATGTACGCTAAATAAATATTATTATTAAGAGAATTTTTGCATGGGGTTAAAAAAATGGTTAAAGTTCGTATTTGTTTGTGTTGATTAAACAATCTCTGATAACGAAAATGAATTGATATAACTGCTGGTCTAGATTCACACAATACCAATAACAAAAAGGAATGATACAACTAGTGATGTGACGCGTATTGTAACTAGATGATGTACAAAAGTTACGTTTTGATGCAATATATTTATTAAAATCAAGAAACTTCGAACTTTTGTACACGTGACAAAGTTCGAAGTTACTCATTTTATTTTAACAAAGTTATTATATCAAAAATGTTACTATTGTACAGTCCATGGAAATAGATAATCGATATATAACCAATTTTTTGAGATTGATTGGACCGCAAGTTCAATTTACAGAATTTGAGCTTATTCATATTATTTTGGAAATTACGCGAAAAATTTTAATATATTAATTTTTTTTAATACTCTGGTAACATTGCCAGTGTTAAACATAATTATTAATACCTGTATAAGTAGATTATATTATTAATTTTAATAAATGATATCGATATTTGACGGAATTCGGACTTCAAATTTATTCACATATGTGGAAATGCTTCTGTGGAAATTACGCAAACAAAATTTAATTAATGATATTCGATTGTTCGCAAGTTCAATTTACGGAGTTCAAACTCGAATTTATTCATATTCAAGAAATACATGCCCAATTTGAAATAACGGCGATACAGACTAACAAGTTTAATTCATATTTAGGAAATTCTTTCTTTGGAAATTACGTTATTAAAGTGTTTGGACAATTTACGAAGTTCGGACTTTGAATTTATCCATATTTGGGAAATGCCTTTTTTGGACATTCCCAATTTGAAATCGCAGCGACACAGACTAGCAAGTTTTAGTTATATTTTGGAAATGCATTTTTAGAAAATTTTAATTAAAAAAAAGTGACTGGGTGGGCAATTTGTGGAGTTCAGACTTCGAATTTATTCATATTTGGGAAATGCCTTTTTTGGACATTCCCATTCTGGAAATGCTTTCTTTGAAATTTGTGTAAAAGTTTTCGATTAAAAAAAGTGATTGGACAATTTACGGAGCTTGAACTTAAAGTTTTTCATATTTGACAAATGTCTTTTTGGGACATGTCTAATTTGAAATCACTGCGACACAGATTAATTCTTTCAATTTCAATCTACGGAATTAAAATTAAGTATAGAACCTATTCATATTTGAGAAATGCTTTTTGTAATATGTCGAGCTTACGGAAACCACTGCGACACAGGATATTGCGTATTTTTGAAATTATTGAAAAAATTTGAATATGTTTTTTAATAAAATTTAAATTTAAAAATCACATTTTTTTTTTTAAATATGTGAAAATTTTTAAATAAATGGGTGCAACGGATTTGAAAGAAGATTCTCTGTGATTACATGTTTTTTCAATAATTACACATAACTAGAATAATTGTTCATTTACAATGGTTATTCAAAATTTGAGCTTACTGTATAATAAGTATTTAGATTTGTTTTAAACAAACAAGAATCATGAAATACAATACTATTGCATCGGATAGTCAATGAAGTAGCTGAGCTGTAGCTAGATAGAAAAATTGCTTGCAATATTCACGATTATGATATTTTATTGCTTATTTCTAAATTAATTAAAATCAATCTCATAACGCTAGCAATGAATACAAACGAAACATGGGAAGACTTCCAACTCATAAAGCCCTGCGCAATTTTGTATCAATTCTTTATATTAGCAAGAGACTGAAGCAAAGATATTGAAATTACTTAACCTAAAGTCTGTCCTTACAGTCAGATACCTTATGAGAGATGCAAAATACACACCCAGTTTTAAAAAACGATATGGAATCCAG